GCATGGGCAATTTCAAATTCAAAATTTTGCGTGCCCACTATGCTCACCTCCTTTTTCAAATTTGAAATTTGAAATCCGTCACAGTCCCACCCAATATTAGACCGGATTAGGAGAGCGAGTTGGGTGACCTACGAACTAGTCAAACCAATTACTTTACTAAGAGCTACTCCCTTCGCCGAGCTGACATAGGCTCGGGAGTGGGGTGCAATTGATGAGGGGTAATTTGGTCCTCCGAATCACATTGTGAAACGTGGCGGCCTTCAAGTGACACCTCGACGCTGAGTAAGCGAACTAGCTTGGCAAGTCAGCCCAAAGCACCTCACCTAGGCCAACTTCCACCTTGGCTGGGTCAAGCTGACAGGTTTCCCAACTTGTAGCGACCTACCTCAGAGAATGGCCGAGAAGTAGGAACCTGGAGACCTGCCTGGTGAGCCTGCTGACTTGTCTAGAAGAAACGTTACCAGCCTGAGATCTCTGGAGCATTAGTGCCTCGATCGTTAGGCCGGCCTACCACACCGAACGCACCAGAATTATTTGGGCGAGCCGTAATGCCTGCGCAGATTACGTAACCGAAGTAATAAATCACCCGACCAAGCGGAAATGGCTCCGCAAGAATATGAGACCCGTTGTCAGAGGGCTCAGACCACTGACGCTTATATAAAGTACTCATTTCTACCTGTGAAAGGTACACGCAATTATAAGCTCTCAAGCACTCTCATTCTCTGAAGACTCAACATTTCTTTGACTTAAGCATCGGAGTGCCCACCCCGAGTAAAGACAGCCTGGGCACTCTAATCCTCTTTCTTGCAGAACATAACAACCCAGCCTAGCATAGCTCGGCCTTGATAAGGTGTTATCTGAATCAGTGTCCGAGTCACTTCACACAAGGAGCAGCTAGATCACGCTACATCACTAACTTAAAGATTGTAAAGGAGACTAAAAGGAAATCAACCCCTCAATTCAAATTATTCAAGTACATGGTGTCACCGTGCTTTGCATGGATTCAACCTGGATATTTGATTTCATAGTCTATTGACCCAAAAGGGGTCTCCATTGAACATCAAAGCATGGAGATATACTATACCACAGATCCACCCTTAGTCAAGCCATGGGCTCTTATTCGAACATCACCAATGTGCTAGAAAGGAGACCAAAAGTTAATCCATTCAAAAACCAAACTCATAATACTACCGTCGCATCATTTGGCATCCAATACGAAAACATTTTAACATGAAATTGGACTTTCTTCCAAAATTAAACCTACCAAATGTAGTAGCACTACCAGTTGATGTGAATCTATCCAAGAAGCGATTGCCATAAGATATTAAGGAATGATTTCATGGAAATTCTCTCATTATGCAAGTGGGATGTTATTATTGTCCATTGTAAATTTAACACAGCAAACTACATCCAGTCTAGCACAAAATGTTGAATAAATCTATGATAATTACCATCATTTCAACCATGCAAGCATGTAGCACCACTGTTTATTTATTTATTTATTTTGAAATATACTCTCTACTGATCTACACTAAGCACACCATTAAACACAGTAAACAACAGAGCTGCTCATTTAGAGGTATGTTGTTTTTCTTAAAGAAACTCTGTCAAAACTCAACCTAATAAAAGAAAACAATAATTCAATTGCACAAAAAAAAGAAAACAGAGCAACGATCATAACAACTTAAAAGAAACTTCCAAATCCCATCTAGCTAAAGCCAGAACTGATGGCCAAATGATATTATGAACTTGGAGGAAACAAATAGAACTGCTTTATATTTTACTTTTTTAAAACATTGTGCAAAACCAAATAAAAAGAAACTACTAAGGGCTTAAGACTTGCAAATGTTAAAATGTTGTTTAAGAGTCAACACCAATTGCCAGAAGTGAAATTGGCATGGGAAATGGTATTCACACTATTCTCAGAACCTCCCCAGTGGAGTTGCCATTCTGTGAACGTTAGAAAAATATCCCTCTAGCTGTTCACTTCATGGCTGATGCTATGGAGTCGCCATCCATCAGGAATTAATAATGGGGAGTGATGGGTCTCCCGGATTTAAATTCTACGAAATCGTTTAGAATTAACAATGACTCCATACCGATCAGTCAGGACAAGGACATTCTGGGTAAGTTGAGAAAGAGAGGGAAGGGGTTAGGCACCCCTCTCTCTAGTCAGTGTGAATACTAGATTTCCCTTCTCTGCTTAAGATGAGTTTAGGAATCGGGTTCTCTAGCAACTTGAAGGAGCTTAGTTTTTCTTTCTTCTCTTCCAGACCATTCCCCTTTTGGATGCAAGGGCTTGAGCAAAAGGATGGGGAATTCGTCACCCCTTTTCTATCAGAGCCCCCACCTTCGGACTCAGTAAACTGGTATGAAGAGTGAAGAAACAAGCTAGCCTCTTGGTCATAGGAGAACACTCCGATTGCAGAATTGAACCAACAAGAAACAACCATAGAAGCAAGCAAGTCGACAATAAATAAATAAATAAGAGGATGAGGTAATGGGTTTTACCTCCTGTAACCTTAAGAATGGAGATGCTGCAAATTTCATGTGCAGAGGTGTAGCTGGATTTTTGGGGCTGCCGAAACCATAGCTCGTGATGAGCAAGGGAATAACTCGTCTAAAGTGGGTGTGATCAGCAATGACAGAGAGGCGACTGGCGGAAGAGAATAGCTTGTCTCCCCCTTTCTACTTTCTCTGCTTTTTCACTCTATCATTTTTTTCTTCGTCGATTTTTTTCTCAAACTCCATAGTTTGATCTCTCTCTGTTTTTCTCTCTATTCTCTCAGTCCGAACCCTTCTCTCCTCCTCCCTCTCTCTGAAAAAACTCTCTATTTTCCTCTCTTTATCAGTTCTCTTTGTCTCGTCCTCTTGATTTCCTGTGCTCTCTCTCTCTCCTTCAGTCTCCCTCACTCAGTCAAACTCCTTCGACCTCCTCAAAACTCTTCCCTTTCGACCCCCTTCTAATAGGAATAGTGCCTCCTATTTATAATGGGAAAGAAGGGGATTTCTAAACAAAAACTAAGGGAAAGGAGTTTTTAGTAGGTAAAAAGCTAGGGTTTGGGGGGATATCTCACCAGGTTGGGTCTCCAAGAGTAAAAAAAAAGGGTAAATTGGGGAGAGAAGGGCAACTTGGTAGTTTTGGAAACTTGGGGTATTTTGTGAATTAGGTTAGGGGTATTTTGGTAATGGGTCCAAGGGGCATTTTGGTAATTTGGTCAAGGGCATTTTGGTAATTTGGTTGAGGGTATTTTTGGGGCATTTGGGGAGAAGGGGCAAATGATGGGTATTTCGGTAATTTTGAAAGAAGGGGTATTTTAGTAAGTTGGTAATTTTGGAAGGAGGGGTATTGGGAATTGGTCAAAGGGGGGTAATTTGGGTAACTTGGTCAAGGGTATTTTGGGAATTAGGTCAGGGGTATTTTGGGAATTGGTCAAAGGGGTAATTCGGGAATTTGGGCAAGGGGCATTATGGTAATCTGGTAAAGGGGTGTTTTGGTAATTTTGGTTAAAGGGTATTTTGGGAATTTTAGGGAAATGGATATTTTTGGGAATTTTGGCTTTGAAGGGTATTTTGGTAATTTGGTCAAGGGCATTTTGGGGCTTTGGAATGGGGTATTTTGGCAATTTAGGGTGAGGGGAAATTTTTGTGACTTGAAAAGGTGGTGGTTTTGGGTATTTGGTAATTAGGTCAAGGGGTATTTTGGTAATTAGTCAAGGGTATTTTGGGAACTTGGACGAGGTGGGGTTTGGAATGGTTCAATCAATGTTTGAGGGTGAGTTGGGGGTTCAGATAAAGGACTGAGCAAAAATTGGGTGCTGACAGCTCCTATAAGGCAACCTAAGCAAAGGACCCACTCCAACTACTGGCCAAGAGAAAGACTATAAGGCTTATTTATTTAATCGGGTATTGACATCTATAAATGGGTTCAGCTCAGAGAGAGAATGATTATTAAGAAGTGATTGGTACCCAAAAGAGGTAAAGCCCAATTATGACACAACAGGATCTAACCATAATTGTCTTAGGAATGACTAGTGAGATGCATGGGGAGAACAAGCAACCTGGGATTTGGATGAGTCAAGTAATCGAAGTCACTACCACTATTTATGGGCTGCTCGCAACCTCTATTCACCTTTAAACGGATCAAGAAGTTCACTAGAGTCTTAGGGGTTGGCTTCAAATTCAGACTTCTAGGTAAAAAAGGCCCAAACTCAAAACCTGAACTAGCATGCAAAGGGCTACTATTGGTATTTAAATTTCAGAATGAAATATTTAAACTCAAAGCTTGAAAGATTTATAATGACACAACTGAAGCAATGATTAGTAAACCAAGTGTACCCAGAGTGAAGCTTTCCTGAGAGTGACATAGTAATTCTGGTCACAAAGATGAGTTGACTTCAGCCTAGTACTAAGGACACCTGAAGAGAGATGGAGGCCCCAGTGGGAAGGGCGGATGCAGTAATTTGCAACAAGTACAGCAACAGAAGGAGTTCATTATGACCTTATAGCAGAACAAGAAAGGGGATCAAAGGGTGTTGACTTGGTTGAATTCTATCAATAGCTAAAAACATGCTAACAGCTTCTGTCTATTGCAATTTTCTATGGGATGGGCAAGTGAGGATTTCTATTAAAGACATATACATTGCATGAGGGACTGCAACATAAACCTATAATGCAGGTCTGAAACTTGTGGCTTGTAAACTTGGATGGAATCCGATTTTCATACATGCAGTCACACAAGAAATAACCACTACTAGGTTAAGCCTGAAATCGAACTCAACAATAGCCTACTCTAGATAAAAGTTAAGTAGAATAATCCTACGAGTAGCACTCAACCCAAGCTACATTATAACAGTGTTTCCAAACATTAATTTCCAAGGAAACCTGTCTCATTCCAAGGTGCTTTTTTACTGCCCATCTATCCCCTTCCAGATTTAACCAATTTCATTCAAAGCATATATATTTTCAGCTTGTGCAGAATTATTTTCAATAGAAAAATATGAGGTTCAAAGCATCTTAAAGGGTTATTAGAACAAGGCAGTAAAGAAGAGATCCTAGTTAGGATTTACACACATCAAGTCACAAGAGAAAGATCCCCCTAGTCTCATTCTATAATAAATAGAAAAACATGAGTGCAGAATTAGTGATCAACAAGATCTCAACCCAAGCAAATTTCCAAATCTTAAGTAGGCATCACTTTAATCAAGAATGGTTGCCACAGTAAGGTCCTATGGAGATTTCTGTTCATGAAGCAGAAACCATCATGGGAGCCCATATTCCCAAAGAAAAAAAAAAGAGTTCAGACCCTCAATCCAAGGTACTTCCAACCCAAACACACAGTGAAGGTGAACCAACTTCAAATCTAAAACTATAGCCAGAATGGACCACTCCAGACTATAAGCTTTTTTTGGTCAGGACTGAAACCTGTTTTGAGATGCCCAAAAGGACTTTTCCTTGCCACACAACCAAATGAATTTATCACAGAAGTGGCCGGCCAATTATGGTATTCAGCAACAGGAGACTAATGGAATTAGGAAAATGATGCTGGAAATCACGAGGTTGAAGAAGGTCCTGGAAATGGGTATGTTGACGGAGATCTGGAAATCACGAGGTTGAAGAAGCTTCGAACAAGAGAAAAACTACAAAAAAAAAAAAGCACGATCAACATCAGCATCTATTTTACTGGTTCAGATGGAAAAAAAATAATAATAATAACAAACCTCAGCAGCACTAGAACGAGGTTGTGAACGAAATGGCAGATCTCAGATGCTCAAACTAGATCAGCATCAACATCTCTTTTACCAGTTCGAAAATAGACGCTCGGATGCTCGGAATCTCAGATCTCAGATGGGGAAGTAGCCATTGCTCGACCATCCTCCAACAGACGCTCGGATGCTTGGAATCTCAGATCTCAGATGGGGAAATAGCCATTGCTCAACCATCGTTATGGTGGATGAGGGTAAATTCCTCGCTTATTTCCGTTGACGAAGGAAGGACATAAAGTTTTACTTCGAAATAATGGAAGTAGTTTTTCACCCCAAGATTGATGTAAATGTTGGCATATTTGCAATTTTACATCGATCTTAAGGGTGTTTTTACAGCGCCTCCAAACGCATACAATTCTGGACCGGATTTGCACTCTTTTCAAACTCAGTTTAAGAATGATGCACTCTTTTCAAACTTAGTTTAAGAATGAAATTATCCACTTGTAGTTTGAATACAGAAAGCGGTGAGATGACGAATGAAACGAAATCAACAATACAACGACGATGATGTATGAGATGATGTTCTATTTGTTTTTTTTTTTTTTTTTTTTTTCTGTCAGCGCATTCCAGAGAGAAAAATTCGTCCTCCCTCCCTCAATTCCTCTGGTATAAAAAGGGAACCGCGAGACGCGTTTCTTCTCACATAAAAAGCCGTATTGAATTGACTACAATCAAACAGCAAAAATTTTGACAGTCCAAGCGTCTGGGGTTTGTCAATCGAAAGCAAAGCAGATAATGATGGATACGTTCTTCATATCTCATGGATCGCCGACGCTGTCAATCGACGATTCCCTTCCGGCGAGGCATTTCTTGAAATCTTGGCAGCAGAAGATCTTCACAGAGAGACCCAAGTCAATTCTTGTCATCTCCGGTCACTGGGAGACCAATGAACCCTCTGTCAACGTTATATCTGGTCCCAATGATGTCATCTACGATTTCTATGGCTTCCCTAAGCCTATGTACAAGGTAAGACCAGCAGACGATGAATTCACTTCTTTCTTGTATTTGATTTATTGTTTCTGCTCCCGATATACCAGTTCGATTTCTTGGATTGGATTGGATTTCAGATTTCAGAAAAGAAAAAAGAAGGAAAAAACAGAAAATAAAAGCTTAGAAATCCAGTTTAATCTATTTTCTCCACTTCTGTTCCTTTTTTTTTTTCTGAAAATTTTCAACCATGGCAAAGGAAAGCAAGGCCTTCAGAGGAGTTAAAGTAATAAAAGGATTTTTATTCTAAAAAAAAGGAATAAATAGTTTTTTTACCTTTTTCATAGGGAAATTCGCCATGGAGCTATGTTTGGTTTGGTAAAAAGAGAAATTTTTTAAATTCCTTGACAACTTTTCCCTCGATTTTCTTATTGAGTTCCAAAAATAAAATAAAACAATGGAAAAATTCCATATTAGTACTCTATACTTTGGGCTTAGTGCCACTTTAGTCTCTGAACTTTAAAATCTGACGATTCAGTACCTGAACTTTTAAAAAATGACAATCCTTCAAGTGTCATCTAATTTTCTTTATCAACCATTCAAACATTGACAAAAAATTAATAATTTCAAATCCTTGCCTTTTCTGTTCAAAAAAGTTGAGATCACCAATGTCCAATCAAACGTGACCCCAACTTTCTTGAATGAAAAGAGCAAAGATTTGGGACTATTAACCAAGGTTTTGAAAACCGACCCGAAAATCGAACCATTCTAGCTATTGATTTCCAGGTCAATGGTTCAATCGTCCAAGTCAAACGGTTCGGATGGTTTGCATATTAGGGCAAATGTTTATTTGAGATTTGCCCTAATATGCAAACCTCATAAGAGATGTCGGTTGAGAGTAGAAAGAGAATTGTTGTCTGAGATAGAAAAAAAAGAAAGAAGAAGAAGGAATGAGAGAAGGAGGGAAGAAGAAGGAAGAGGATGAGGATGATTGGATGCTCACCAGCGACGGTGAGGCGCGCGACAACAAATACAAATATGAGATTTGAGTTCTTGGATCTTAGATCTTAGATCTGAATTCCCAGATCTGAGATCTGAATTCGTGTCTTCTTCTTCTTCTTCTTCTTCTTCTTCTTTTTCGTGCTAGATCCCAGATCTGAGTTCGTGTTTGATCTCAAATTTGAATCATCGAGTTCTCTCTATAACTTATATTGTGAACCATTGATTGGGTCGAACGAGTTGATGGTTCAACTGCCCGAGTCAGTGGTTTTCTGACGAAGTCAACGAGTTTTGACCCAATAATGAGTTAAGGGTGAAACGAAACCAGTTGTCCAGACGGTTTCCAAGCCGAACGATTCGACCGTCCGGGTTAACGACGGTTCAAAAACATTGTTGTTAACTTTTTATCAATGTTTAGATGATTGATAAAGAAAATTAAATAACACTTGAAGGGCATTTGTGTCTTTTTCAAATGCACACAAATGCCACTTAACGGCTAGTTAATGACAGGTATTGGATTGTCACGTTTTAAAAGCTTGGGTACTGAATTGTTGCATTTTAAAGTTTGGAGAAGATACCTATGAAAAACGAACTGACTAATAAACTAGAACCATAAACATAGTAGCAAAGAAGGTGTTATTTATTAAAATTTACGGGTGGATTTAGATTGGTCAAAACTCTTTCCATACCATACCTTTTTAGTATCATAAATTTTCCCAAAGAAAATTGTTTATGTTTTAAAAACCGTTTATATTTTCAAAACTTCTATTGTTTTTTTTAAATAAAACCAATTTAATTTTGCTTTTCGAAACAAAAATGCAATTCAAAAAGCAACCCCCTTAATGTTAGGTTTCTGATTTTGATGTGGCTAACCGGAAAACGCTGACCTTTTCCGGTTAAATGACAATTTAACTTGTAAAACTGTGACAAGCATTTCGAAATTCGGATTTTTAATCCGATCGAGTCAACTATTCAACCTTTTGTGTTAAATGTGCCAATCTTTAACATCATAATTAAATAAAGAATAAAAAATTAAAGAACTAACACACAAAAATATAAAAGTACAAAAAAAAATTATGTGTGATAAATAAGAATAATTTTTATAAACATAGAAATATAACAAATATGAAAAATTTTAAAAATATATTTTTTACTATTATCATCATAAAAAATTTTCACATAATATATTTTTGTATTTTATCTATTTCTAAATTTTATTATTTAATTGTGACATGGATTGGCCCATTTGGCCCGAAATGATTTAATTACTTATCATTGCCTAGATGAAAACACTATTTTTAGGTAGATTTTAAAAGTATATTTTTATGTTATTGAAATTATTAATTTATTATGTACAGACTTAATTAATAGAATTTAATGATAAAGAAAAATAAAGATGCCTTTAATATATGATTCATTGAAGTTGAATGTAAATTAATAGCTTAAATGTTGGATTTAATGAGAAAAAATTGAATGCATTAAATATCTTATAATTGTTTATTTCAACTCATTTAATATTAATAATTAATTACCTATTTGCTCTCATTTTTTATCAATAAATTTAAATATAGGTAGATTATATCCTAATAAAATTTCAAAAATATTAATGAGATTATTAATATTTTTTAAAATAATATAGATATATAATTCCTGGGTCTGCTATATGAAAATCGAATCGGTTTGAGACTGGTACTGCTTGTCCGGATGTCTCGAATCAGAGCTGATTCATTCATACCTCTATCCAGCCCAACTAATTCGACTTGGGCATATCGATAATCGATGTGATCCGGATAAGGACCGGCCAGCGCCTCGCCGCCTCGTTATGTGTCCATGAGGATCAGTTCAATTCCGGGTCCTAGAGGAATAGGATGTAGTCAATGTTGTCAGGCTTGACTCATAAAGAACCGTTTTGGTAACTGCATCATGGGTTGGACAGTCAACCGTCCGATTAAGATAACCATTCAACTTATTTCCATTAAAAAATGTGAAAAATAAAAAATTGAAAATGATTCTAGAATATCTTTTAAAGTTATTAATAAAGGTTTTTAAAATCGTCCTGTTCAGCGGTTTGTTGACCAAAATCAATAATTTTTAAGAAAAATCTGATTTTGGAGAAAAATAGAACTGGTTACTTGATCAGTTTCTGGTTTCTCTGATCCGACCATCTAGTCTGATCCGGTTTTGAAAACCATAATATTAACAATGGAGTTTTATTTTTTTTTCTTCTCGGTGACTAACAATGGAGTTACTTGATTGATTGAATTGGGACATTAATAGCTAAAGTACCCAGCACCCGGTGCACCTGAATTAGCAAAGAGTGTGAAGGAGTTGCTTGTGGATGCTGGTTTCAAACATGTCAAGGAAGACAAAGCTCGTGGGCTTGACCATGGTGCTTGGGTCCCGCTCATGCTCATGTATCCAGAGGCCAATATCCCAGTGTGCCAGCTTTCTGTCCAAACAAACGAGAATGGTACGTACCACTACAACATGGGGAAGGCGCTGGCGCCCTTGAGGGAAGAGGGGGTTCTGATAATTGGGTCTGGAAGTGCCACACACAACTTAAGAGCCCTTGGCCGGGCTGATGATGGTTCTGTCATCCCTTGGGCTCAAGATTTTGATACATGGCTCAAAGAATCTCTTCTAAATGGAAGGTAATTTCAGTACTCAAGCAAATATTAGCATTATTTTCGAAAAACAACAACTAAGATGGTATTTGGTATTGATGGTGTTTTCGGAGCATAGATGTCAATTCAATGCCATATAGGCATTTAACAGAAAAATGCCAAAAATAATGTTTAATTGATAAATGTGTCCCGATTTATGTGAGAACCATTTATCAGAAAAATGCTAAAAATAATGTTCTTCATTTTTAAGGGTGAATTTTTTTTTTTAATTTTTTACTGTTTGTTTTATATGGGTCTAATGGCATCTAGTGGCGCTGAGGTGTCAAAAAACATTTAAAGCAAATTTTATTCTGATTTTTGAGAAAACTTTTATTAAATAAAGTAACATTAATACCAAACATACCCTAAATCTATTCATGGGGTTTCTACTTGAATTTAACACTAAAATCATTATTTGCAGACATGAAGATGTGAATACCTATGAGGTGAAAGCACCCTCTGCAAAACTTGCTCATCCATGGCCGGACCACTTCTACCCTTTGCATGTTGCTATGGGAGCCGCAGGCGCCGATGCAAAGGCGGAGCTCATCCATCATAGTTGGAGCCTTGGTGCACTTTCTTATGCCTCTTATCGTTTCAAAACACCTCAATGATTGGTCATTTGCTTTGTGTTGGTTTTGTATTGTAATGGTAATGCTGGCTGTTCAGCATGATCAGATAGATGATGGTTAATGATGTTTTTCTTTTTTTCTTTTATATATATTAATGTATTAATGGTTGTTAATGGTGTATTAGTATTTGGCACTTCTGTAATCTCTCTATTTGTGTTAGTTGGTAATAATTTCAACCATTATCAAATAAGATTACCTTTAGGCTTTGTTTGCTTTATGACAAGTTATTTATTCGGGTAAATGCAATTATTTGAGAAAGTTTTTTTCTGAGAAATATTTACCTGAGTAAGTGCATTTATCCATGCTCTTTTATTTCCCAGCTAAATAAAGTAATAACCATTTTAGCCATAAAAGTTCATTATTAAGAGGGGCATTTTTGTCCCATTCAAGTGTTAGCAACTTTCTCCCTATGTGGGAAAATTATTTATCCACCTAGGAGATGGGTAAGTGATACCCAAGAAAATAAACTTTCCTTGGTCCCCACATAAATCTGAAAAATGAACATGGGATTCTTGGTCAATGGAAACCAAAATCCCATTGACCAACTTTCCCTCCCTCTCAAAATCCAAGAAAAGAACACCCCCTTAGGCCCCATTCGCTTTCTGGTAAGTTACTTACCCAAGTAAATGTAGTTACCTGGGTAAGTTTTTCTTAGGAAACACTTACTTGGATAAGTGCATTTACCCATGTTGGTAAATAAGGCAATGACCATTTTAGCCATTAAAATCTATTATTAAAAGGGGTGTTTCTGTCCCATTCAAGTGTTGACAACTTTCTTCCTAGGTGAGAAAGTTATTTATCCACCTAGGAAATGAGTATCACTTCCCGGGTAAGTGATGCCTAGGAAAATAAACTTTCCCTGGTCCCCACATAAATCTGAAAAAAGAACATGGGATTCTTGGTCAATGGGAATCAAAATCCCATTGACTAATTTTCCCCCTTCTCAAAATCCGAAAAAGGAATGCTCCCTTAGAGTTAATATATTTTTTCTTTTCTTATGATTTTTCTATTTTATTATATTGCATTGATTCGTTTTGCATCCTCAATATTGCCATCCCTTTAGGAAGAATAGTCTCAAAGTCATGCAATTGGGGTCCCGCCTTCTTCAGGTTGTTTTTGGTTTGATAGGAAATAAGAGATAGAAAATCGAGGGAAAATTCTTTTAAAAAATTATGAAATCGTTGAGCATTTTACCTTAATTTCTTTTTCTCTTATTTTCTATGAAACCAAATATATTGGAAGGGATTATTGCTTATTTTGGCAACGGTCAAAAGTGGGTTTTAATATTTTTCAAGAGTGTGGTAAGGGTATTTTCGTCAAAAAAAAGTTTCAAGTGCTTATTGAATATGCTTACAACATTGTGCCTACCAAATCCAAACTGGGTTGTCATAGGTAAGGTTTTGTTAATTAAAAATAACAACTCCAGGTTATCATTGATTAAATAATGATAACCATTAAATGCAGCTAATCTGGATTTCTATGGAAATACTTTGGCATTGATAATAATATTAAACAAATTTTACCACGCCGCAATTGTGAATAATAGAAATTCCAAATTTTACCATGCCGCAATTGTGAATAATAGACAACAGATTTCCGTTGCAGGTTTCAAAGATAAGACTGGGGAGTGGTGCTCTGATCATCGAGATGGATGGAGTCCACAATTATAAGGCTCTGTTTGGTTCACGGGAATAGGAATTTGGAATAGGAATCGGATTGGGTTATTCTAATTCTAACTGTTTGGTTGATCGGAGTCAGAATGTAACTGCTGACCTCAAGCAATTGAACGATGATAAATCTCCTAGGGTTCCTTTATTTCTAAAGACATCTGTAGTCGCAATCAAGATTCAAAATTAATATCGAAAGTATAAGTGTATTGTATGATACATATTGGTTTTTAAATCATCCAAATGCCATTGAAAGGGTTCTTGGAGGCGGAGGGTATGTAGGAGCATTTGGCAAGTCTTTTTTGAAAGATTTTCTCAAGTTTTGTCAGCTAAAAGATATAGTGAACTTTTGCATTAAGATCTTGACAGCTTGAAGATCGTTTAGTTAAGATGTGTCTTTCGGTGCATCTTTCCTTAAGAAGATGAATTGAAAAAAAACCCGAAAAGCTCCGTTTAGAGATTCCCAAAAATCACCCAAAATGGATTTCATACTTTTTTTTCAATACAACATTTTTTGGCGACTAAATCTTTTTTCAACCAAACAGGAAAAAACAAAAGCATGGGCTGCCGGACTTCTAAAAAATCTACAGCCCATGTGAAAAGGCACATCAAACGGCCCCTAGTTTTAATTCATAGTACCCCCTCCTGTCTTCTTACTTAATTAACTTTGAAATGATGGCTTAAATAAAAGAAAAAAGAAAGAAGGAAAGAGCATCATAGCTTACAAACATTCAAAACCGTCTTTTTGTGTTTTGCATGTAGCAATACTTCGAAACTTGGTGGCAAAGAATGTTCATCTCATCGTGCCAGAAGTTGAGATTAATCCAAAAATGGTGTTGATAGATTATCACTATGAAAATCATACAATTTCATAAATTAAATAATAAAATTGAAAAAAAAATATATATGAAAGATTCATAGGACTCGTAGAAATAGGAATGTCTCTAATATTATATATTCAGCGTATTAAACAAAAGTATATATAATAAATTAGATTAATTGTTACTAATGATGGAAATGATTAAAACTGCGCCAAATAGAAAAAGAATTAATGTCTAACTAATGACCCATTGACTGAGTCAAACAAGTCAATGACTCAACCAATCAGGTCATAGGTTGTTGATCAAGCTAAAATTTATTTTATTTTATTACTTTTTTTTACACTGAAGTGATTTGGATTTAAAGAAATACCTAGGAATCTGTCCATGTAAAATCTAAAAATTCGTTCTTTAGGTTGAAAGACAACAAATCCACCACTATACCCTCATGCAAGTACTTGTCTTAATTATATGCAAGGTTCAAAGTATCGATGAATCAGCCTGTATCAATACTTTTTTTAGGTTTTATTTATTTATTTTTTCGAAACCAGTTCGGAGGAATCGATTTAAGGCCCAACTACCCTCTGAACCAGTGTCTGACCGGATACAACCCCTGAAAGGGCATATCAGAAACCCATTAGCACAATACAGGCCGATACGTATTAATACTTTGAACCTTGCTGGTTATATGGGTTAGAGACTAATATTGTTTTCATCTGGGTTAGAGACTAATATTATTTTCATCATTTGATGTTGCAAGATACAACACATGCACACTTACTGGCCAATAGAAAAGCTTGTCCCACCTAACCTAAACCACTATTACTGGTCAATTTGCTCATAATCTTTAATATCTTCTACACCTTAAATTACTTTGAAATCGGGGTATCATCTAAGACTCATGGTTCAAAGTTGTATCCTATGATACGGTGTGATATGTATTGATAATTTGAACCTTGCTGAGATTTATTTGGGGAAACAATAACTATTTCTTAAATCAAACCCAACCACTATCATATAATTCAAGAAGTTTTGCTGAGGTTTTATCAGGAAAAGACAAGAAGATGACAGAACTGGGCATATATGATGTTTCTTACTGTAGATGGATTCACTGATCAACTACAGCTATTTTGATAAATATGATAGTATCTCCAATACATGACCTGTACATGCCTGGGATTTCAATAGATTAGCCAAAATATAATTGTACCTTGCTTTGGATCCACCAATTACATTTCAACATCTGTTAAATGGCGAGTGTTGACACTGTAGGAACTGAGGTTACAACAGGTTTTTTCTTCCCTTTTACTCCTTAGGCTTTTCACTTTTTTGTCATGACCTACCATTTGGTATTCCATATGGGTATTTTCTGAACTCCTATAGAGCTGCCAACATCATGTAATGCACTTGTCTTGTAGAATTCTTTCAGTTATGCTGACAGCACCAAGTATTAGCCTCATATTTCATAACAGTAAAGACCAGGAAACAAATGCTCAGGGAGGTCTGGCCTGGATAGTGGTAAAGAGCTCGAAAAAGCATGTCCCATGGATCAACCATTTGTCAATGTTACCTGGGTGGCCTTTCCAATGCAACCCAACCAAACTTCCCTTTACGGAAGTCAGACAACACACGGAATGCTGCTTGATTGATATCTCCATTAAACAATTGAAGTGCTATCTTCTCAACAAATCTGAAATCCAGGAAATGTATGCGGCAGATCAATACAGATATCAAGATAAAAATTTGGGTCACGATATAGGTACTTACATTTTACCACAGAGACCATCCACATCAATTTTGTAACGGTTGTAAAGAGCTTTTGGACCTGCTAGAATGAAGAAACTGCATTTAGTACAAGATATGTTAATGTAGGAACCGAAGAGTCAAAACTTGTTCTTATCTTTTTCAGAAAACTTGAGTTCTCTGAAATATTATGTATTTTTGTATTTAAACAGTATGTTATTTTGGTCATTTTACAGGTTTATGGTAATCGGGCCTAAGAGGTTCTTTTGTCTAATCATATTTAAAATTTCAGCCATTAGTTATGAAGCTTAGAAGTTATTTTCTTTCTGTCATAAGTATGACAATGATAACTGTAATTTCTGTTTCCCTTCTGCTAGGATTGGTAACTCTACAGTTGCGAATGACATTTCAGTAAACCTTTTACAATTATATCTTTGTAAGTGATTCCTATAAACCTTAGAGTAATCCTAGGTATCCTGAGTGACTCTGGGTTTGTTCTCTCTTCTTTCTCTTTTATTTTCTCTTTAACTCTGTAAACAGTTATTACAGCCATCAACATATCAGGTGCTTTTTTCCAAGAAAAGAGTTCGATTAACATTCCTAACAGATTCAGTTAATTCAGCAAAAACATTGGAATTTTCTTGTTTCCAATTCATACAATAATACTTTTCTTCTTTGTTTTATCGATAATGTCAAAATTTCTTCCATCAAGGTTTAATATTTTCAGTAAATACTGAATTAAATAATATTTTGAGTAACTGTTTTAAATCAGTAATTCTAACCAATGAAAGAATTCCAATACATGCTTGTACAGTGAGTCACTTATCCACCACTTTCCAAATTCTTCATTTTCCTCCAACCTAGAACAGCAATGGGAAGGAAAAAGTAATTTTTTTTTACTGATAATTTGGAAGAAGTGGTTTCAAATAGATTATTTTTTATATCATTATAAATATGAACAGGAATTCAATCCCCCAGGTGTGCTTTTCTTTATAAGTAACTGTTAAAAAATTATATTGAAAATGTCAAACTATTAGCTTGCAACTCTCCCCCCCCCGCTTCCCAAATAAGCAGATTCCAAAACATCTAATTTCTTCTCTGCCCCTTGCTTTTACAAGCCCGTCTGTCAAACTGTTATACTGAGGTATCCAGTTGAAGCTAGTTCTTAGCTCCCTCTCTGATCTCTTTGTGGCGCCAAGTGCCATTCAGATTGTGCTGTAGACACCAAATAACAACCTTTAATCCACCTCAATGATGATATTTCTACAGTTTAAAGGTTTTGCTCTTCCTAGTCTCAACAGAGCTGCTGTTAATTCTGCTCTTGTTGAGTCCCCAATCCCAATTGGCCCTGAAAACATAGCAACAATGTGTCCATCACTATTTTTTATCACACCTGACTCCTGAAATCCCAGGGTTGTGTAAACTACAACCATTATAGTTCAGCTTAAAGTAGAATGGAGGTGGAGGGTACTGTTCAGCAATGAAATATGACTTGACAAAAGTGGAATCAACCACTGTCTTCCAATTTCAGCTGAAATCATTAAAAGAGAAAGGAGTAAATACGTCCAACATCTTACCCAATGTGCTACCTTAACTGTAATATTATCAACAATTTCCTCAATACCCATTTCCTTATCCCTAATAGTCATGCATTTCTTCCAGGTTACTTTCTACCTGGCATAGAGTTGTTTGATTCTTACAAAGCTGCTGCTAGTTATAGAGCTTACGATACCAATACTGGACCAAAATGGCCCATGCATTCATTCAGAACCATAGAACCCCTATGATACAACGTGAGTCTTGCAAAGGGCTTCAAATCAATATACGTCTTCTAAATCTTCCAGGGAATTTGAAGCAACCAGAAAATGAGTTTAAAAGTCAAGAAGAAACATACCTATTGTTGGAAGCCTGGTCAACATCTGTACAAGGATTGCAGCCACATCAACGACATCATATGATCTCTCTCCAATGTCATCACAAATTGCCAGCTTTATTGCAGCTGTCTGGTCACTAATCCGCATTGGGATTATACCAGGAGAGTCCAGCAACTCCAAATCTTTCCCAAAACGAACCCATCTTTCCATGGAGAAAAAGGATGTAATGAATAGATAGAACATCTTTACAATAACAAAATTTCTTGTTCCACTTGACTCCCACATGCACTTCCAATGATACACAGCCCTTTAAATTGGAAGTTTTCAAATAAATGGAACAAATTGTGAATTATGCTTGTTCTTGTGTTGCTGATCAAAAACAAAAAAAGAAAAATTAAGTTGAGACTACTACTACTACTACTACTACTACTACTACTACACTACTACTATGTCCGTCTGAAATTTAACAGATAAAAATTACATACTTTAGTTCTCTTGTGACACCTGGCCTGGGAGCTGCTGGACACATTCGTCGTTTTAGCAAACGGTTAATTAAAGATGATTTACCCACATTTGGATATCCAACTATTCCAGCACGAACCTGTCACATAAGCAAAGTGTTCTCAACATAACATATGACCATGATTTCTAAACCCATGAGATGTCACCAGTTTTGAAACTGCATCAGAAATCATCATAGTCACAAAGAAGTTATGGTTCATATTTGATAGAAAGCAGGCTGAAGGTAGAGATATTAGTATTGTAAGGGAGATCAATGGCCCAAGCTTGAATGGAAAATATACTGCAAAAATAGTAATAGCTGTTCTATAGAGAAGAATTGATATCGGCAAGCTTACTAATTCAATAATTTGAAATGCAATTGCTTTCAACACTACGAATTCTTAGAGATATTACTACCTACAAGACTTTATATCAAAAGTGAACCCCTATAATTGGACCATTCCACCCTCAAATACCTATCTCAGATGAGACATATTTCATCATTCACTAAATAAGACACCTATGCAAGAACAAGACTTATATCTCCAATGACATTACCAGATTCAAAACCCATGTTCTTACCAGTTTCAATCACTTAACAAAGTAATTACATTTGCACATAAAATATTAATGGAGCAGGTAAGTATATAAATATTCTGAATAAATGAAAGCCCTTGTCTCAAAAGACAACAACAGAGCCATTAAAATAGTATTATCCAATAAAAATTCTTAAAACCTCACCGCACGAGGAAGTAGTCCTTTGGCTCTACGTTTGATATTCACCCCACTAGCTAGTGACTTTGCAAGCCTCCCTAGCTTCATGGTGCCCTGCATTTCCAAACAAGAATTATCATATTATATTGTGCCATGTAAATAAAACAATCAAAAGAAAAATGACAAAGAGTTTCATCTACATACCATTCCTAGTTGCCCATTGGAGAAAACAACCTTTACTCCTTGTTGTGCAAAATAAGTAGCCCATGCATTTCTGTCTGCAGTAGAAATCATGTCTTCCCTATTCAGAACTAGAATCTTCTTCCTGTTGCCAAGCCAGGAATCCATCTGCCCAACAAAGATTCAGTAAAAGAAACAAAGGAGTGGACTTGAGATCACAACTATATTTCTAACTTGTAGGCCCTGAATAGTCAACTCAAAATTAACCAATATCCACATAAATGAAATAGAGAACCCCACCTGTGGATGAGTTGTGGACATAGGAATTCTTGCATCCCTCACCTCTATCACAACATCCATTAACTTGAGCTGTTCTTTAAGTTTCTTTTCTGTTTTAGCAATATGGCCAGGATACCACTGCCAAAATTAGATGTCAAAGCCCATGGCATCTTAAAGTAGGCACCACCAGCTCTAAATTAAATGATGATTATATTATGCTAGCATCTCAAAGATCAATTATGCAAGATTACGATTAGCGCCTTGTTTCTACCTGAACAGGACGCAAAGGCTTTGTCCAATGGTAAAGCTCAGCATCCAAATCAATCCAATCACTTTCTCCCTGGTAGCCTTCAAATGTATTGCTAGAATTGGCATTTTTGTCATGGTACCATCCCGGAACCTTTCCATCCACAATCTGCAATATTTTCTTTCAACTTTATGTTCCTCATGTCAACTGAGAAAATGAGTCTGTGTGTGTGTATGTGAAAGTAAAGAAAAGATTGAATTTAAATATGAGAAAAAGACAAGATGATAAGATGTACTGCCATTCAATAAAAAGGGTTCCATGTTTCTTATCTATGGTATAATTAAAAGGTGTATATTCTATTTCTATATCATCTCATGTCTCAAAGATAACACTATTCCACTCACTATAACAATTTCTTAAGATTCAAACTTCTGTGTCGTTCAGTATGGAGGACAAAAAGATCATCCAACTTAATAATAAACTGTGGATAGCTTTCCTTCCTTTTTATCTTATCTTTAAATACCAGAAATCTCTTGCCTTATAAATTCAATTATTACTTTATATGGTTTGCTAACATATTGGGATGGGGGCAGAGGAGGGGAAGATATTATCTCTCTAAACTCTTCACTAAAAATGAATTGATACATTGCCAGGAATCATGCAGTGTTGCTCAAAAATGATTTGACACATTAATGGCATGGTCAAAATGGAGGAGGAAATGGAAAACCAGATTTTCACGTGAGAGAAATAACATATACTGGTTCAATACATCCCTCTATCTCCATATTAAATGGTTGATTGTTAGAACGTACTCCAACACTAGCTGTATAAAAAAGGAGATTTTTTTGTTGGCATATTTTTTACGAATATGCATTCTCACTACAAGTAAGATTTGGTATAAAGACATTTTCTTGATAAATAATGAGATATTATTTTATTGATTGCCATGAAAAAAAGAAAAAGAAAACCGTCCAGGCTAGATAGCAGGACCAATACAAACCAGCCACAAGCTGAACAAACTAACAACATAAAAATTATAACAGTATATTACAACAGAACCCCAGGACCAGGTATTCCCCAAATACTCTCTTGATTTGTTACACCAGATCTCGCCAATCTGTCACCTACAGAATTAGCCAATCTAGGAATCCACCTGAATGAGCAATTCAAGCTGCTTCCCACAACCTTAGCCTCCCTTACGAAAGATCTAAATCTCCAAGGGGATTCTTTCTACCATTGAATTTATCCAAGAAATTACAACTTGGCAATCACCTTCAACAATCATAATTATCCATCTTTGTTGTGCCAAAAATTTTAGACGTTGAATCAGTGACAATACTTCAGCTTTCAAAAATTGCCAAACCCTGCAGCACCTGAGTAGCTTAACAAAATGGACCCCTTGCCATTCCTTACCACCCCTCCCATGCTGGAGCCACCAGGGATGCCTAAATAGCACCCATCAAAATTGAGTTTGAGTCTACCAGCCTCAGGAGGATGCCAACAGATCAACCTTGGTGGTTTTCTAAAAGATTCACAGAGAAAAGCTCCTTTGAGCTAGCATTCCGTGCTCTTCTATCCTCCCTTCCAGACTCCAGTGAAAGAGCTAACATGGGAATAAGGATATTAGCTTCCCAATCATTCATAATGACATATGAAGAAGGCTCCATATAATTCAATTATTACCACATATTTGTAGCATTCCTGAAATGTCACCTCAAGGAGTCTGCTACTGCCATGCAAACTTTTCTTATGAAAACTATAGTCACACCACCTAGCTTAACTAAAAGGCACATGATTTTTGAAAGTGAACATCAAATTCTCTTAGTGTTTAAGATGTGATGTCATACACTAGGGCATTATGGTTCCAATAATGTTATAAAAAAAACAATCATAAAAAGTTTCACCTCGTCTGCTCCAAGCTGTTAACAGCATCAAGAACAAAGGGCATTTTTTTATCAACAACAAAAACTTTATTAAAACAAAGGGCATTCTTCTAGCCCACAAGTCTATAGAAGGCCCTATATTTTGTTCAAGGATAGAATCTACTCCAGTAAGTCCAACTTTTGGACAAGTTATGGACAACTTATATGGGAACCAAAAATTTTCATTTGTCAATATATTAAGTGGCATTTTTTATTTAGTAATTTTCTAAGGGTTTCTTTTTAAACATGTTTGGTTTCCTTGTGTACTCTGTTTTCCAAATTAGTGAAACAACACTGAAGCTCATCTACAACTAAAATACATGGTAATCTCAAACAAACTAAATTCTGTTTCCAGAAGCACTTTCTAAAAACTTGCTCAGCCCATATGGTACATGAATTCTGCCATGGAATTGACACCCTCCAAAATTTTGAACATAGCAATTTCCTGACAAGACATTCAATAAAATTTTTGATCATATTCCGAGAAGAGTTGTGTGGCAGGAATAAATTTGGAACAGGAGGAGCTAGAGTAAGTAGCAGAGTCTTTAGGTTGCCTGATAACTGTTTGTCCTTTGAAATACCTTGGGATGCCACTAGGAGACAATCCAAAAGAAAGCAGGTTTTGGAACCCAGTTGTGGAAATGTGTTCTAAGAGATGGGCTGCCTGGAAGAGAAATTATATTTCAATGGGAGGTAGAATTACACTGATATAGCAAATTTGCCGGTCTATTATTTATGGTGTTTAAAATGCCACGGAGGGAAGTGATGAAGCTAGAAAAGTTTATGAGAGATTTTTTGTGGAAGCCAGGGGAAGGTAGAAAGGATCATTTGATCAAATGGGATGTAGTGTGTAAAAGTAAAGATGAAGGGGGTCTAGGCATAGGAAACTTAAACAAGAAAAATTCCTCTTTATTAGGTAAATGGCTTTGGAGGTGGACTCTAGAGAGGGGAAGATTGTGGCAAGAGGTGATTGGTAGTATCCATGGTTCTGCAGGCAATGGTTGGGATGCTGGGGTATCATCGAGGGCTACTTTGGCGTCTCCTTGGAAATCTATTTGTGGAATGCTTCCTCAGTTCCTATGGAAAATTAGGTATGATGTTTGTTCTAGAGAAAAGGTTCTTTTTGGGAGGACCTTTGGATTGGTAATTCAACCCTTAAAGATTTGTTCCCCTCTTTGTGTTCTCTTTCTTTGTTTAAAAAGGAACCTGTCTTTCACTCTGTTTCCCTCTCTGAGTTGACTGGGTTAAGCTGGAACTTAGGGTTAAGAAGAAATTTAAGGGGCCTTGAATCAGAAAGGGCAACCTCATTGTTACAAAGTCTTGATTCTGTTGTCCTGGATTTTTCTAAATCAGATGGTCAGATTTGGATTCCACACCCCAGAGGTCTTTTCCTCTTGTGACTCCTTCTCTTTCTTGTTTTTAGACCCAAACTCTCTTCCTTGCCCTACTGATGAAATCTGGTCTAAACCTATTCCTCCCAAAGTTGGGAGGAATAGGGTGGTTGAAGGAATCGAAGGCAACTCTAAACTAGTAATAGGGTGGTTGAAGGAATCTGAAACTGTAATTTGGAAATACAAAGAATATATTAAAAGATTTAAGTGGCTGGTCAGAGATATGACAATTTCAGTCCAACGGGAAAGGCAGTCAGCTAACGGGAAGGCTGATTTCTTTGCAAAACAGGGGGTGCATAAGTCTGAATTATTCTAGGCTCAGTTGTAATCTGTTTATATGGCTGGGGCTGCATCTCGCGCCTCTGCTGGATGTACTCTGTAATCATGTAATACTTAATTATGCTCTAATAAAATTTCTATCATTTATCAAAAAAACAATAAATTTTTTTATCAATACCATTCAATCCATTTTCTGACAATTAAATGCCAAAAGAGATTCGTAATGGCCATAAGTCAGGGTTATCGTCCTGGATTTAATAACTTAGAAGATGTAGCCTTTTAAGGAAATTAACCCGAGTTTAAAACTCAAACGAACACAACAGAACTTTGAAACTTCACTATGGCATGGACGATTAAATAGATTATCAAATCCTTGGACGAAGAAATTACAATTTAGCATAACCGAGTGATTTCAGGACTAACGAATCAGTTGTGCATGCATCATCTATTGAACTAGTCAAATTCTCAGGAGAATGATTCAGTCCTATCTTGGTTGAAACCCTGGGACAGTACTGTCTAGTCCCTTGTAAGATTGCACTACTTTGGGATGCTTCGAAATCTGCAAGAAGCAATTCTGTGGATAGGAGATTCCAATCGTTTAGCAATATTGAAACCAAGTAAATTGCTTAAACAAGTTGATTTTCTGGCATTTTCAAAATGGTAAACATAAGACTTGATCGTACATCCTCCCCTGTATACTTTGCCAACGTCAACACAATCAAATAAGGATGAAGAGACCAAATGAAGCAACCTATGCCCATCTGTAACAGATTCTCACAGAATTTAAAAACAACCATAACGAGATAAGTACAACTCAAATGTTCCGTAACTGAAGCATTTCACATACAAACTGACATATTCTGAATTGGAAATGGAGAGTACCTAAATCAAATTTGACTTAGAATTTTGAAATATATTGAAGAAGCAGTTCATCAACGAAAAGTGGAACAAATAGTAATTGAAAGAAGTCTTCTATACTACTGAATATCTTACCTGAATAGAGGGGATGGGTGAAGGAGAAACTGATGCAAGAGCAGTTGCTAACGATTTGCTTCGACTGCGGAGAGGGTGAGGTGAGATTGTTGTAGTGGGGAGCCATAAACCCGATAGTTGAACCGCCATGGCTGCTTGATTGGAGCCTGTGCAGCTGTGCTGTATCCGAACGAGAGATTGGGGGGAGAGAGAGGATAAGGACAACTGACTAGTGTTCGAAAAAAAATAAATAAAAACCAACCTGGAACTGAACCGTTGTTGCCTCCGGGTCGCGGGGTCATCGATTCAACCGTTCGATCCGGAGGCTGAACCGTTTTAGGTCTAATTTATATTTTTATTTCTGTTTTTACTTTTAGGGAAAATCTATGATGTGGGAAGATATGGTATGAAAAGAGTTTTGACAAATCAAAACCCATCCATGAATTTTGATAAATAATACCTTATTTGCTACAATGTTTATGATTCCAGTTTATTGATCATTTGTTTTTCGGATATCATATCTTTTTCATATGATAGTTAAACCCTTTTTTATTGATAAAAAAAGACTAAAATTGAGATTTGAGATTAAAAAAGCACTTTTCTTCAAAAAAAACAAAAACATCAAAGATTATCCCAATCGTACAACCAAGCACAAAGTAATGGTGAACAGTTCAACCACCTAGATCGAAATGATTTTGACAAATGACAAATTTTAGAAGAACAAAAACTAAAAATAGGATTACATGACGATTTGATCGGACAACAATCGAAGTCAATGGTGGGTTACAAACATAACAACTAGCATGAGCCCAAACTACCATAAAACACTAAGGCTCTAATTACTAGTGACCATGGGTTAGACCATGGGCCAGGCTAAGGCTAGCCCAACCTAAAAGCCTAGACATATGGGTCCGACCTCAGCTTCTTTTATTTGGGCCAAGCCTAACTCTTATGCTCAAAACTTCAAATGAGACATATTGGCTAGGGGTGAGCAAATGAGTAAGTTTTCTACCTGGAATCACATGGAACCAATATTGAACTAACCTTATCTAATCTATTATTGAGTAGGGTTTGGTGCCAAATTATTGAACCCCCTCGCCNACCCCACCCAGGTTGGTTCTAAAGTTTAGGATTTTACCCTACTTGAACAGGCTGGAGAACCGACCTTGGTTGACCTTATTGGAATTAGCCTTGATTGGCCTTGGTGGGACCAACCTTAGAACTGAATTTTTCTTGAAATAAATCTCAAAATAACTTGAGATTGTGAAGATTTGAACCAAAGCACTCATGATTATTGATGAGAGGTGATTTGGCTCGACCTACCAATAGTGGACACATGAATGTGACCTGCTGACTGGACTATGACTAGGCGTTTCCTGCCACATCAGCATTTCCTGTCACCTCGGCAAGGACCGAGGTCCAAGTAGTTCGGGATGGCCCAACCAACTGAAGTGACACGTAGCGGACTTCTAGAAGTATGCCAACTGTCTCTAAGATCTTCGGGATCACGCCACATGACCATAGGTCTTATCCTCATCCCGCCCGGCTCGGATGGACACGATAAGCCTTATCAGCTAGCATGTTATCCACCTCCCGGGGCGGAACGGACTCCTAATGGCGCAGGTCGAGGATGTCAGAGGTGTTTCGTGAGAACCGCAGAAGCTCATCTATATAAGGGCACCAGCCCTTGTAACCCAGGTACGCGCGATTTACTGCTTACTAGCTTTTATACTCTCAAGCTTTCAGCTCGCACATAGTCAAGTGCTAACTTAAGCATTGGAACGACCCCGTCGGGTTAGCCATCCTGGGTTCTCTGATCTTTCCTGTCTTGCAATTCGACTGGCTAGCTAAGCAATCGGCGTCTGAACTGCCATCCAACTCACCCTATTATCAGCTATTGGTGTAGTAAATGAGCAAAAATAGTTTAATTTGTATTAAATAATACATATTTCTAAAACCATAAAATAGTAGTTTTTAAAATATAAACAAAATTTGTTGTAGAGATGTTAAAGGATTTGTGGAATATGATGCTAAAAAACCAAATGAAAATATATTCTTTAAATTAGAAATTCAAGAACATGTTGTTGGTTTCAGTTGTGGAAACCAAAAATACATCTATACTATATATAAAAGTGTGAATGCAATGTGAAACTTTTTTTTGGACTAAAATTACCCTCTACTTCTTTGTTTGAAAAGGGGTATAAAAACCATTTTGTTATATTTTTAATGCCAACTTTAATGGCTACTAAATGCCCATAATTGTGTATTTAGTCAATATCTAATGGTAAGGTTGAAAATGTAACTTCAATTATTACTTCTCACCTCATTTAATCATATTTTATTAAGATTTATACTTAAATTATTAACTCTCAGTTTCTCTTATTAAATTAGATCTGTATCAATATTTTTAATAATATAAACCCATATATTTTAAAACTGGCTAAAAAACAAAGCCATTTTTAATCCAAGTGGTGGTTAAGAAATTCAACCATCCGAATCAAATTGATCAACCTACAAAGTCGTAGTTAGGTAATAAAAATTTCAAAATAAAAATAAATATAGAAACTTACAAAAAATTAGACACATTTATGATATTTTTATTAATTAATTAAAAAACAAGTGTAATAAACAAGAATTATTTTTATTAGTAATGAAAATGAAATACATAATTTAGAACTGATAAAAAATGAAATTATTTTACTATTTGGCAAAGATCAATAGTTAATACTTTGCGTCAAACGTCAAACATGTTAACCTTTAATGTCATAAACAAATAATAAAAGTTAATAAAATATAAAAATACAAAAATAATAAAGAATGCATAAATTTTTCAAAGAAAACATTTATGCACATGTATAATATCATATATTTATCATATTATACAAAAATAAATGTGAAACATTAGAATTATTTTTACATACATAAATACAAAAAAAAGTTATAGAAAAAATGAATACATCTATAATTTTATATTTACACTACTATTAAAAATATGAATAAGATTGAGGAACATTCTTTTCACTAAATACTCATTTTTGAATTTAGTCTCTATTATTTATGAGGTTTAAATTGTAAATTGAACTACTACTTTTCATCCCATTCAATTCTCTCTATTTAAATATTATATTTTTTTATAAATGAACGAAAAAAGAAACATAAAAAAGATTAAATATTACAAAAAGAAGAATCTAACCAAGAAAGTAGAGTTACCAATGATACTTGGAACTTCACAACTCGATCCGATTATCATATATTTGGATGAGGTGTTTATGTAATCCTATTTGAATTTTCAATCTACATCCGATTAATAATAAAATAACAAAAAATAAAAACATATAAAAACAAAAAATAAAAAATACATAAATTTTATAAAAAATTTTGGATACATTATTACTGTCATTATCATCACCTAGAATTACCATGTACAAAACACGTGCACATTTACTATAAGAGTACTATTTTTTTGTGTTTGGTTCAAATCAGCTGATTTTGTTTTTTTTTAGAACTATTTTTGATATATTTTTGAAACTCAAAAATTAAAATCACTTTAAAAAAAACTATCCTAAATGTTCATCATCACCATCATCTAAACCTTGTTGCAAATATGTGGAGTTGGGTACGTGAATTTCTTGTCTTTCTGCTTTGTTTAGTGTCTAATCCATTATTAAATTATATCCTCATCATTTTTTTACCACTTCATCCGATGTCCTTACATAATTCCACTTCTTTTTTTTTTTTTTTTGCAATAGGAATATGCATTACCACGTATAGCAACCTCATATTACCAGAGACAACATTTTATGGCCAAGAAGGAAAATTGTTTATCGGAATTTGATTGATTTTCAAAGACTAATACATAGATTTTTATGACAATAAATTAGGATACTCAGGTCATATAACATGAAGGCCTTAAGATGTAGAATTTAGATTAATTGGAATCAATGATAAAGTTCTACACCAATAATAAATTCATGGGCCCCATTGTGAAAAATTGGGTCCCATTTATTTTATTAGTAACATGAAACCTTATAATTGGTTTCACAGCCCGTTGAAGCCTGAACAGCCATCTCCTTCAGCTAAACCTTGCTCTAAGATGTATAATAGTTGGACTATAGATGGGCTTATTTACTGCTTTTTTAACTGGTAGAATAATAGGTGACAAATTATTAAAAGAGAGAAAAATATGTAAATTTTCTTATAAAAATTTACATTATGAGAATAAGTTAGATATCAAAAATATAGAAATACAATTTTAATATATTTTGTAATATAAAATATTAGTATACATGTTTTTGTCTTTGATATTGCTTGAAGTAATTCGCTTTTCCTTCATGCCATTTTCTTGGTTTGACTCATCAAAAAAGCATCCAATCGTCTGAGAGCACAACATCCAATCGCACATGAGGAGTATCTCTTGTACATGTATTAAATTCATGGGAAGATGTTCTGAATGTGCGGTTGGATGCCCATGCTTTAAAAATATTCATAGAGCTTTTACTTTCAGGAGATCCCATCACTACTTTCATCAATATGGTCTTGAGTATTATGGAGAGATTCCTGATTATATACATCAGTAACCAATTTCTTACTCCTATTTTGTTTGATAGACAAAAGATCCCAAGTCTCTATTAAAACAAGCTAGTGACCGTATCAACTGAGCCACCTATCAGTTGGTTCCTTTGTAGACTAACATGCTTATTTTATAAGTCTTGTCTTACTAGGGTTAAATCAACACACAAGTCATTGCCCTAGAATAGTTGAACTCTTGAATTTAAATACTTAAGCCTCAGGAAAGAGTTAATTAGAGCTTCAAGGCAGGAAAGAGTTATTAGGGCGCCTAATACAAAGAAACCAATTTGGATATAGGTATATCCAAATTTGGTTCTATTTATTCAAATTCAAATCGGATCTTATCCATCAGTTTCAAATTTAATTTAGATTACAATAAGATATTGAAATGTTATATACATCATTAATAAAATTAACAAAAAATAACTTTGATATTGTATTTCATGAACAAAATGAATTGAAATCAAATCAGATTATCAAATTAGATAGGTGTGGATCTATTGATAAAAAATAAACAGATGAAATTCCAGCCATCCTAATGGGATTAAATCCAAATTTGAATTTTTTGATACTTGATTCGAATTTGAATTTGGACAAACATACCATTTGCAGCCCTAGGAAGAGCGAGTGATTGTAGATA